CGCTTTGAACTTTAGGATTTATTAACACAACTGAATCCTCTCTCACATCTGTACAGAGAAGCACTCAGATTAATGAGTGCAAAACTTTTAACAATCATCTACGCAGAAGGTCTCCCGACATGAGGCACCCTGTGTCTGGGAAAAAGTGATAATTACTACAACTAATTAATTTTTATCCATCCAGTAAATGTTTGTAGTCATCCTGATCAGGCCACATTCCATTAGTAGAAGCACTTAGTGTCAAAGGTCACATACAGCCCAGAGGGTTATTGTCTTCATGGCTGAGCAACCCATGTCAATTTTGAAAGACATTAAATAAAAACTCTATACAAAATACTTGAGCTCTTAGATGTGATTTCTTATTATCGTATCCTAAATTACCCACCCGGTGTGGTTTCTGTCCCACTGTTATAATTAGAATTTTACAGGAAACCAGTATTTTGTCAGCAGTGATGAGATGGTATCTGTTATCTCTGAATTTGACACAATCTTTCAAAGCAGCTTAAAAAGTCCCTCCTGGTGGAACACAGCCAAGTGTTAAAGCTCTTATCTCTACATCTGCTTTCACTACAGCAACACATTCTTATTCAGGGTGGAGATTCTGAGGAATAATAAAAGTCTTTCACTCTTACTGGCAGTGATTCTTGTGTTCAAACATGCTGTTTGTAGGTTTCTTTTCCAAGTCATTTTTGAGTTGCAGAGGATGCTTTCTGTGATGATGGACGAGATTGTGTTATAAAACATAAACATTTGATTTGGTGTGCAAAAACTAAAGTCAGTTGTCTGACTAAACAAAGAGCAGAGTGTCTCAGAATAACCGCACAGGCCAGCCTGGACACGGAGAAGGACTGTGCTGTAATATAGTGGCACTCAAAATAGAAATGATTGTGACCTATATCCGAGATAATATTTCTCCCACACTGTGCCATTGCACTACATCTTAGGGTTGTCCTTTCAGCCTTGATTGTAGCCACTGTTTGTGATCTTCGATGTGTTTCTTCCCCTCACTACATCCACCAGAACTCTGCGATTGCTCCTTTTCCGTTTCGTGTTTTTGACCAGTCAGCATTCAGTCTGCTCACAATTCCTTCCACTGTGTATCCAAAGGGCTTGCAAAAAAGCAACAAAAACACTGAAGTGGGGACATAAATCCTCTGTGTATTGCACGAGTTAAAAGAGGTACAAACTCTGCATTAGAACACCGGATTTTAAACTCTTATTTCATGTCATGTTGTTGATGCATTATGTCAGTGTTTTCTTTTTGCTTGCAGTTTGGGGCGGCAAGACAATAAATAAATGGTTTGATTTAGGAAAACATTACGATTTGTTCTCTTAACAATGTCTGAACAACGCTCAATTTTGGAGATCACAAAGCTGCCAAGTTTGGTTAAAACTGAAAACACTACACAATTACATGCACTCGCTAAAAGCGCTGCTGAAGATCATTATCTTTAGAACCTATTGTCAGTCACAAGTTCCACAAGCAGAGTTTCTAATTGTTTTTGTTTGGGCGGGTTGAACAGTCATGCAAGAAAATGCACTGTTAGGCATCAGTGCAGACTGTGAAACAGACAGTGTGATGATGTCTGAAAACACAACTGGGGACCTTTAACATACAGCAATCACTTTTACCAGTTAAATAATGCAAGACTAAAACAATGCATGATGCATTGGGTGAATAATGAGTACTTTTGCATTTCTTTAAGTGCATTTTTGCAAACAGAACTAAAGAAAAATATAGATCGATTGATTTTCCATTGCTGATTTTTGGTTTCAAAAGCTTCACCTCTGCAGTGTGCAGCATAACAGTAGCTTAAGCTTTCAATAAAACAAGTTAATCTAAGCTGCTTATGCGTTCACTGTAACTGACGCCAACCTTACATACCTGGATAACTCAGGAGAGTCTGTGAGGTTATGAATTTTCCTCGGGGCTGTGTGTAGGCGGCAACTGGAAAATTTTTACCAACCATTATAAAGTGAATCCTGGAAGCATACTGCGTGATATAAATATCAACCCAGCCTTGGTTTAGCTGTTTTTCTTTTTCACTTTTTAGACTAAAACCTACAAAACATCAGACGTCTCTGATCTTTTTCTATCAAACGTACTGAGTTTTTCACCAGGAATCTGAACATGTTTGAGTTGGAATAATTCAACACAAGATCAAAAGATTCACAGTTGGTGCTTTTTCAGTTACCTGGAGACCCCGCATTGTTGAAAGTAAATACACTTGCTTTTTTCTTTGTTGCTGACATTCACTGTCATGTTTAATAAGGATAATAATGCATACTTTATTGATCCCCGTGGGGAAATTCCTCTCTGCATTTAACCCATTCACTCGGTGAAGCAGTGGGCAGCCACCGGGCGCCTGGGGAGCAGTGTGTAGGGATCGCACCTCGCTCAGGGGTACCTCAGGGTAGTCGTTCAGTGGATTCAAACCCCCAATCTTCCGATCATGGGGCTAAAGGCATGTGAGGCAAGTTTTATGCTGAAGAAGAATTGCGTGTTGGTAATGTTGACCTAAAGAACCTGTTCTGCAGATCTGCATTCATGCAAGTAATGCTGTTAACTCACTTTAGTTAATCTGCAATGACTGATTTCAGTTTGTTTCTTTGTCCTGATGAATTTTTCTTTAAAACCTTTAATCCTTATAATCTCTGACACTTTGTGAACAGTGGAGCAAATCTGAAGTCCAGATGTAAACTCAGATTTTATATTTCAGAACCCTCCCTTAGTTACGCTTCCTGGCTGCTGGGAGCTTCTCGTGTTTATGTGGGTTTATACACCACTCTGCATTTAATAATTAGTTACTGTTAACTTTTCCACAGTGTGTCTTTTGTCCCGTCTCCCTCCCCTTACCTCCATCCACTCGTAGCAGCTGCCTGCACCTCCCTCAGCCTGGTTCTGTCTGACATTTCTTCCTGTTAAAAGGGAGTTTTTCTTTCCCACTTTTCTCTCTATTACTGTAGAGTCTTTACCGCAACATAAAACCCTTGGGGTGACTGTCATTGTGATTGGGCACTAAGTAAATAAAATTGAATTTTATTGAGAAGAGAAAAGCAGCACTGCCCAAAACTGTTAAAAGCCATGCTTTCAGCCCAGGTGATAGGTCTTCTCCCTCCTTAAGAAAGACTACCTTAAAAGAACTCACTGGGCACCTGGATCAGCTTTTACTGGCTATAACGAGCAGCATTAGGTTGGCTTTCATTTGCTATTGTTGGCGTATTTGAAGCACCTCTGTGTGCTTTCCTTATATTTATACATGCAAACAATATCACAGGTGCTCAATTGCTCTTATGATGAGTTGGCCTTATAATCCTGTTCTCTTAAATACTTGGAGCAGAATCTGTTTTCACCCCCACATGTTTTACACTTCATGCATCTTTATTATTTTATTTAAAATTAAGGCATTCATTAAAAACAAACAATCTATAGAAATTATAATATCCTCCTGAGAACAAGCCTATTCATGTATGTCCTTTGTAATGGACATTTGTTTTTGGTCTGTATCTTTTGACTTATTTGAGCTATCTTACTAAGTCCTGATGTAATAAATAGAGGACACCCTGGGCTTTCCCCACTGACATCCCCCGTGTGTTTGGGTGGCCTCTAATACCGCCAAAGAGGAAGGAAATCACAAAAAAGTTAGGTGGGAAGATTTGCTCCTTTCCTCGGTTCTCAGGAGGTTAGAATAAAAGGGCCGTAAATGATTCCAGTTCTGACTGAAGACCTTCCTGTAAGTCCAAAGGGACAAAACAGGAAAAAAAAAGGAAGAGGAAAAAACAGCAGGGATGCAAAGACAAAGAGGAGAAAAGACGAATAAAGAAGAATGTCATCTATTATTTATCTGTATTCTCAGGAATTCAGGCAATCCCCGGCCTCCTGAGTGCTGCACTTAGGGATTTGGCTTGAAGTTGCTCATGCACACATGAATCGTTCTGATGAAAATCTCACCAGTATGGCGAAAGCACAGCACCAAGATGCTAAATAGATCAGCGTGAACGAGTGAAAGGGTCAGTGAATGCCCAGGGACAGCCAAGAGAGCACAAAGTGCTTAATATGTTACTCAGTTTAGTACCAGACATGATTTAATGCTGGACCACTGATGTATCTGCCTATTTACAGTGTGCTGTAGCTATGTCAAGACATTTCTCCAGCATTGTTACTTATTCCTATTAAGTGTAATAAACAACACTAATGCTTTTGGCTCTTCTTTCAGTGTAACACAAAAAATGAGGAAAATGTGGGAGCATTCTTGTTTTTTTGCTGAGAGTGAAGAGACTCAAACTGTACAGCAGGGCCCTCTAGTGGGCCGCAGAGCCACTGTAGGTAGAGTGGTGCATGTTTGGAATTGTTTGGGTAAGTTTGACTTCAAAAACACAGAAAAAAAACTTCCCTTCTTTCTTCACAGTCACTGGATAAAAGCCAGACTTTAGAAAAGTCCGATATCACCCGATGGTTTGGTGAAAACTGCAGTGAATATCTTCAGTTTTCTAATAAACTGCACTGCTGTTCCTGTATTACTACACATCTGCAAAAATGACCCCATGGTCAAAGTATTTTTGACCTTTACAAATCAAATGAATTATATACACTAAAAATAATGTTATTTAATTTGAATAACTCACATATAACTGTTTAATTTGAACAACTGAGCTATAACTTGACTGTGTGGAGTCACTGAAGTCAGTCTGAAACCCCTGAATTAGACTGAAAGTGGATCTGCTCCCCCTTGTGGACAACTTGCAGAATTCAGGGGCTAATTCAAAGTGCTCGGAAACAACAACAAAACAAACAAACAAACAAAAGAAAACAACAACTACCAAACAATATGGCTCAGTTACAAAACAAACTATAATAAAATAAAATAAAAAAATATAAAGGAAACGCTACATAGATATGTTGACACATACTTTAATGGAAATTTGAACAACAGTAAATATTTTAAAAAATAAAATAAAATCCTAATAAAACATTTAACAACTGATTTTGAAAATCCAGAAAATAAAACAGATGTGTAACCTTTAAATTTTAAACAATTCAACAACAATTCAAGAACCTAAACGTGAACTGGAACAAGGGAACAAGAAACACAATAACTTAATAACAGGGAAAACATACATACATATTTTTTTTATGATTCATTCCCCTCATCAACTTGCTGAGCAGCTTCCTGCTCAGTGGCTCTGGGTGCAGGAGGTGGTGGGTGCTGCCGTGACATCAGCTCTTCCTTAAAAGTCTCAGGCAGTGACTGATGGGTAAAGAAGGCTCCCCTGCAAGCCTGACAGAGATACAAGCATATTTATTGCATTACACATCTCTGTCTAAACAATATTAACGAAACATTTCGAAGATCATTGCAGCCATTTTTTTCAGCACATCTTTCATGTAGTGTAGTAGAAACAGTGGCTTACAGCTGGAGGACCAGGCTGTAGTGGGGGAGGGTAAAGGTACCCAACATGTACAGGGGGCAGCCACATTTTGGGCAGGAATTGATGAGGTGGAGAGGGATAGCTGCTGGCGTGATAGCCTGGCATGCTAACTGGAAAGTGAACAAGAGGCAGACGTGCCATCTGCCTGAATTCACTGAAAAAAGGTGAATCTGGAAGGAAAGATAAAGCATTATAAGCTACTGTACATTTAAAGACACAACTCTTACTCACACTCAACACTGAAGACATTTTTAGGTTACTTCTGAGTAAGTCTAAATTTTGAGTTATTAAGTCTATTTATTTTTTTAGGGGTTAACCCAAAACTATGGATTAAGATGAAAATACACTAAAACACACAGAATTTAAAAGATCAGATGAAATGAGAAAAATAAGATATTATTTATTTACCCAGGAAATTCCTAAAAAATAGTGAGAATAGCCCAATAAATACAATAAATATTATAAATAAATAAAATAAATACAAGACAAGACAAAGTAGGTCAGTAATATTAAAAAAAAAAATCACACAAAATTAGATGCACAGTGGAAAAGAAAAAAGAGATTCGTTTGCATGGATGTACACCCACATCAATGATTATGCAAATATTAAGAAATACAGTTTATGAATGTAGTTTAAACTATTTAATTATATAGTTTATTGTTATATATAATGAAACAATAACACTGAATATTTCATCAAGTGGGTGCACCTCCGGCACAAGTTGTTAAACTTTGTGACAAGAATAATCAGCAAAGACCATAAACAAAATTATCATTAGTATTACTTTTATACTTTAAATAAGTCACAGTAAAATGTCTCACTTTGTATGAATTAGAATATCAGTGCTCCATGAGGTTTAAACCTGCTAACTTCAGCCCCTATCTGTCCCTCTTAATGTCCTAAAGATATTACATTTGTGAAAAGACAAGTCAAACTATTCTCTCACACTTTTTTCTCTTTTTTTGTGCAGGTATTTAATTCAGAATCATGCATATGTTTTTAATGCATATGTAGATGCATTAAAAACAAATAATAATAATAATTTTAAAAAAAAACCCAAAACAATCTATCTTTTTTTTCTTTCTTTCTTTATTCAGCAAGTGTTGACATAAAGTTGGAGCGGTCCATTTTAAAAAGGAAATGCTACACAACAGTCTAACCCTTTCAGTAATACACTTATCTGCATGACACATTCATTTAGCATTTTCAGAATTCACTAATGTTAGGACCTATTGTCCAGCAGTTCAGCAGAGGCTCTCATCGTTTTAGCATTGCTTTTGCCAGACTGAAGGGTTTTATTACAAAATAGCTTTTACATGATTTGAAAATGTGATTTGATCTGATTAATTGCCTCAAACTTAATTCATGTAAGTCTAATACTTCAGTCTGGCAGCCTGTCATCTCTCAAACCTAAGATTTTAATTCTTAATAATTAAATTAATATTTTTCTTGATCCGTGGTCCTTCATCCATGAACTGAAAAGTTGACAAAAACAAAACTATATTGTTTTTTTTGTGTTTGTTTTTCCCCCAAAACAATCTATCAACTGAAATCCTATGAAGGACATAAGAATGTCAGATTATTATTTCAAAATTTCAACTTACTAATTCAAATTTCTGTGAAAATAACTACAAATTGAGATAATAACCTTAAAAATTTGAGCTATTAAGCTATTAAGAAATTTTAATAGCGATATAGTAACCGGACAGTTGCCAGTCAAAAGTTCGTATTTATTGGCGGAAACAAGCTCCCATACATGCTAATACGGGAGAGAAAAAGATGTCAGTTGAGTTTTAAATTTTTTGCTAATTCGTTTAGATGTCTGCTTATATTAACGACTTTCCCACTTCACGTTAATCCAGTCCGTTGAGCTCAACGTTTCATATTTCATAATTAACAGTATTAGCTTAGTGAGAGGTGTAAATTTACCACCAGCCGACGGCAGCACATCCCTGCTGTCGCGACAGCCGGACTCGGGCTGTCCTCCCGCCTCAGGCCTACTCCAAGGGTAGGCGGGTGAGCCCTTCTCCGGGCTTCCTCCGGGCGGCGGGCACATCGGTTCAGATGTGGATGGAGCACCCCCATCTGGGTTCGAGGTCCCAAAAGCCTTGTCCCCCTGCGCGTTAACCCTTCTGGCTCCGGGTCGGGTCTCTTTCATGGCTCTTTTCATTTCCCTCTGTAGGGCGGCGATCTTCGTCCTCTCCGTTATCAGGTAGCATTTCCAGCACTGGCACTTCAAGAAAGGGCAGATTTTTGTGTGGCCCTTCTTCGGGACGATAATCCCGTGGTGTCGGCACCGGGCGCATTTTGGCTTCCCTGCGTAGTCGTTTGTCCCTGCTGAGTCTTTAGGTAAAGACATGGACATTTCATTACCGTGGTGTCCGCACTAAATCAACCAAATGGGCCCACTCGTGTGACCCAACGTGAACTATGTTTAAAAAAAAAGAGAGAGAGAGAGATACAGAGGAAAAAGTATCAATTTCAAGTCTGGGAAATCTGTCACTCTCATTGTCCCACGGGCAGTGAGCCAATCAAGTGCTGAGTTTCTCAATTTGCCTGACCAATCAAATTTGGCAAGTTGATTGGTCAGAGCAGGCTGCTAATGTCAGGTCACTCTGGGGCAAAAATGTTTCTCATTACATCTTCGAACGAAATGTACATTTTAGACAATTTTTTATAAGTAAAGATAAACCTACAGCAAAATGTCATTTGTACAGTATGACTGTCATTCGTATAATTTCGTTAGTTTGAGAGTAAGTTTTGCAAAACTTCACCAAAACCTTGGACTTTTTTTTTAATCCACCCAGTGCAGGTGTCAGCTGCAAAGTATTTTTTTTCCACTGTGCTGCACAGCTATAACACTTGCTTCAGTAACTGGGTCTCTTCTGCTGATTGCAGTGAAACCCTGCACAATCTTGTATCAGCCTCCATAACAGCGCTATATAAATAAAACTGACAGCAGGTTTTTCCGACTTTCTTTTAAACAATGCATATGATGAAAGCGACATGAGGTAGTTTTGAGAGGCAAAAGATGTGGTGCTGGTTTGCATAAAGCATTTCAAGAACTAGACTTGGTGCTTTGAAATTTTTTAAGGATAATTTGGGGAACGAACCAAAGAAACCAAGAAAAAGTGAAGACGTGCACTTTTATTTAAGGTTTTTTTTTTTTTTATTATTATTTGCAGTTTTTTCAAGGAGGAGCAAATGAACAGATCCTTGTTATCTTCTAGATAGAAATATGATATATAGCCTACTTATGTAAATTAAATCCTATTTAAGAAATTACTGATTTATTACAGTGTAATTGCATTTGGAGCCTCTGAAGGCAGCACAAATGTTTGAGGAGAAACTACAAGATGTTGAAATCAAATAGTTGAATACCTCTTATCTCTTACTGCCCATCAAAAACAAACAAACAAAAAAACACGTAAGCAAATTTTTACACACAATAAATATTTTCAAACACAGCCTGAGGGTTAACATTTAAGACAGAGACAAAAAAAAATGTAGATTTTTTTTTTTTGAAGAGATACTGTTTGTATGAATTATTTCATTTTCATGTTAATTTCCTGGCTCAGAATTGGTCTTTTTTTCTTTTACTACATTATAATAAAAATGTCCCATGAATTTGAGTACATGAAAAAAAAATCTGTTTTTAAAAAAAAGATTACCATGAACAGACCCAAGGGCGTAGATTTGGTTTTGGCATTGGTGGGGACGGATGATTCAACCACCGAACCCTGCCCTGTTTCTTTTTTCCCCCCTTTTTTGTCTTTGCTTCTTGATAAAAAAAAAGGAGAAATATACTTGCCTACATGCTTTTAAACCATTTAAAATTACAATTCATAGTTTTATATGTGAATTATTAAATATTAAATTGCTTAAGTATTTTAGACTTTAGTTTACTTCAGCCATATTCCATATAAATCAGGTATCATACAAAAATAAAAATAGAGTCATGACAATAAAAGAATATGACTTTAAGAAATTAACAACATTAGTTCAGTTACAGTACACCAACATCTCTGATACATTAATGACCTGCTGGTTTTTGTCCATAAAACTACTCATCTAAGATGACCACATAGTAAAAGATCTCTCAGCAAAATTATGCAACATTTTAGGCACACTATTGCCCCTATCAACTCAGTGAGCTGGGATTTTTTATTCTAAACATGAACTACTGTTACAGCAACAGACACGGACTGTTGGTGTCCCACACAACAACTCAATGTCCGCTATGTGAAGGAGCCAAACACATGCCTGCTCCTCTCGTTAACTGAGATAAACTGCTGGCATATTTGTTTTACATCTATACTGTCCAGCTCTCCTGGTGGACATGGCACACAGCAGCATTGTTTAATCTCATTTGAGTCATTGTTGACCTTAGCCATGTTTTTAGTCTTCTGAGAGCACTGAAGCTTCTTCCAGCCTCAGTATATGCGTTTTATCCTCAGATTAAAATTATTACTATGGCCCTGGCTCTTCCCCTCTGACTGCACTAGGACATATTGCCACATGATAAAATAACACATTGATTCGTGCCATATAAAAAGTGAGACGTGTCAATTCAGATTCTTTGTCAAATAAACACTAATGAATCAATTTACACCAGCAGCCTAACAATTGTTAATAATTATTTAGTATTAACTAGTATTTAATAAATACTAGTTAATCTACAGCACCAAATCATCAGTCAGTCACCTGTGACCTTGCCTCTTCACCTCTGTCCGAGCTACAACATGGCAGAGCTGCCTCTGTCACCTGATGAATAACAGCCAGACATTCCAAATACATGCAGCCACACATGTGCTTCAAATACAGTCATGAACCACCAAGTCATCATCCAACTTCACCTGTGATCTTGTATCACCCTTGCTCTCTGAGCTTTGTGTTGGTTCTTCTGTCACCTGACAAATAGGACATACATGACAATAAGAATAAAATGAGTAGCTGCTTCAGTGTTTCTGTCAATTTGTGCAGATCTTGACTCATCAGTAATGTTTGTAGGCTGAGTGCATTTTAAAAACAATTTGTGCAAACTGCACTAAAAGATGGAATATTTGCAAAATCATAACGACCTCATGATATTTTGTCTCAAAAATTAACCCTATGAATATGTCAGTACCACTAGGATGAAATTATTGTGTCACCAACATTTTAACGTTAGACATATAATTTTAACAGCCTCTGTAAACTAATATTCTGGCTGCTCGAGGCTGCCGTTTTCTCTGACAGTTTCAATCAAAATTAGAAATGCTACTGTGGGAGACTGAGATAACTAATAGTGCTGCATGTTGTGCAGTTAGTTTCCAAAACACGTTATTCATGGTTGCATACAATTTTAGACTGATGTGGGCCAAAGCCTAGCATAGCCTGTAACGTTATTGTGACGGACACATTTTATGAGTGAACTTGACTTTAAGCGACTTACAGGTTTCTTTGAAAAATACTTTCTTATATCCAGGATCTTCCGTTTTGCTGCCATCCTCCTCGCAGCGCAGGTTTGCCGCTGCTAAAACTAAACAGAGCTCCCTGAAAGGCACAGCCAATCACATTGGCCAGATTTGTCACATGACGTAGGACTCCAGTAGAGAACGTAATTTGACTCTTTCTGCACCGCTGGGTGAATGAGACGTTGACAGATCGTTTTTTCTTTCTATCGGGTTTGTTTTTCTTTATTCGCAGAGATCAAATTATTGGTGGGGACAATTCAATAATCGCCGGATATTGGTGGGGACACGTCCCTTCCGTCCATGCCAAATCTACGCCCTTGAACAGACCCAAAGTCCTGAAATCCCTCAACCTTACCATGATCTGGCAAATCTACCCCCAGCTCAAGAAATGGGAACGCGACAGATCTATATTTTTTTTAGATCTGAATAGCTCTTTTCCTGCTACTTATTAACAACTGCCTCATTTATTTTTGTTGTAACTAAAGTTTTTTGTTTTATTTACATCACAGAAAAATTAAGCTGTAGCTGAAGGACATCAAACGTGCCTCTGACAAAACAATCCACACATGAGGAAAATTAAATCAAACATACCTTTAACCTTAGATTTAAATCACGGCAGAAGAAGAAAAATTAAATATAGTAAACCTCTCATGTTAGCCCAGCTCCAGATGAGCTCTTATCATCATCAAGTAACTTGACACTGAAACGTTATCACACTACTGGATAATAATGCAATTTTTGTACAAAAGTGTAATTCTGGTATGTTTAATTTTTTCCGGACAATTCCAAAGATTAACCCTCCCTCCCTCTGTAACTGATACACATTTCAATCCAGTTGCAGATTGAGCATATGAATAAAATTTAAATGAATTTGGTTTAAATTATGTATTTCTTTTCTCATAACGTTTTTAAATTTTATTTCAATCTATAGCTAAGGGGATGAAGTTTTGGCCATCGATGCATTACATCCATGCTGTGGCTGTAGCTCAAGTCGCAGAGCAGGTCAGCCACAAATCAGAAGGTTGGTGGCTCGATCCCAGGCTGCCTCCTGGCTGCTTATGCCAAATATCCTTGGGCAAGATACTAAAAAGCTTCTTGGATGAGAGGTGAAACGTCTTCAAGCAACTTAAAGAAGTCCAGACGCTTTTCTTTGCAAGCTCCTTTGACTACGATGACCTGGATGACTGAGAACCACCAGTGGTGCCAGTGTCCGGCAGCCTATCAGTTCACTTTGTAGCTGTGGCTACTTTCTCCACTGTCATATAAAGACTACGAATAAAAATAAAGTTTAATTATAGGATTAAACTAATAAACCCCCAGTAAACTAGTCTATATTGATGTACTTAAAAAAAATTAGACCATGCGCCGACATTTTTAATCAGTGAATGTGTTGCTCATAGTTGACTGAAAACTGCTAAATATTCTTCATTGCAATGAATACACTTGAGAAAACATTTCATTTTCCTGTTTATTTACACAGGGTGGGTGTTACATTAAAATTCCTCATCACCATTTTTATTATAAATACACCATTTTAAACAAGGCTTGACGACCCTCAGTAAAATACATCCTTCAAACCTTTCAAAATATAACAAAACAAAACGCTTTAATGGATACAGATGGATTTCATTTTTGCACCTTTTAAATGTTAGTTATTCATGCGCGTTTAGAGTATGAAAATAAAATGATACAGATCCATTGTGTTTACAAAGGAGATTTAACTGAAAACAGCTATACGTAGTGTAAAATACAAATACTGGGTCTGGTGCAAAGCTTAAAGGTCTTTCTCAAAGAAATGCTAACTCATGGCTTATAGCAACTGCGCTCTGTATAATCATCAGTATACTGTACAGACATTATTTGCCTTTGAAGGGGGAAAAATACTTGAAGTATTTGTGACATACTGGAACAGACTGTAAAAAGGCTTACCTGATAACACACTATTTATTAAATTATGGATAGCACTGCTTTTTCAGTCAGTTTACAGCATGAAACGTCTCCTAATACTCATCAACCCAGTAAAGTGTTAAACAGTATTTTGCAGGCACTTACAAAGCATGGTTTAGGCCTTTATTTAAATGAGTTCAAGGTTGGATGCAAGTTTCAAAATGGTCCACTGTTAAAACAAACTGATA